AGGATAGACAGCACAAGAACAAGCCACTGCCATCACTCACCAGTGTGACTGCGCTCTGGTCAGGAGCATGATCCACTTGTGACCAGCTTGTTTCGGTCGAGCATTCTGAGTTTCTCAGTTATTGATGATTTCTTTGACTAGGTGGCATACGGTAACGGCAGAGGCTTGTTTGTATGGAGAGCTACATTTTGGCTGTAATTTATAGTCTCCTTCATTTAGCCAGGGTTTATGTAAGTTTTAGGAAGCCCATCTCCTAGGCCCGTATCTTATAGCTCTTATGCTTTTGCTATACACCTTGATGTATGTTATTATATTTGATCTTCACAATGATCTTGGGACGTAGTCAGTGCAAGCTTTATTATCACCATTCTACAAGACTCAGAGAAGTCAAATAATCTGTCCAACACTCAATAGGAATTAAGTGGCATAGACTGCCAACTCACCCATGTCCTCTGGGACTCCTGCTATGTGCCAAAGGCCAGTCTGCTCACTGAATGACTGTTGGAGAGATGGGAGGACTAGAAAAGGCTGAGGTTCTCTCTGTTGTTGGTTGGATGACCAGGGACTGAACATACCTTTCCTGGAGCCAGCCCTGGTTGTCATTAGTCATCTCAATTCTGTCCTTTCTACCTGTCTAGAATTTTCCTGCTTCCCCGATATTTCAAGACCTTAGCACTCTCTCTGTATATAGCTGGTCTTTGTAGCTCTGAGTTGGCTGCCGCCCTGAAGTCTTTCATCAGTTTGTTCTTCAGTGCATAGGGCATTCCCAGAAACAAGGCTGTTGATGAGGCAGCTCTGGAAGAATAGAGATTTTAAGTTGCTCAAGGCCAGTTTTTATATATTTTTTCAAAGCTTCAAAATTAAAAGATATTCTTAGAAGAACCTATTACTTCAGAATTATCTTTCTAGTGCATGCCTTTCTCTAGCTTTCTTGGTTTGTTCTTGGTAGTGTTTGGGGAAGATGAGCTTCAGAGTCAGGAAAATGACCCAGAACTCTGATGGCAGTGCTAACATCTTGGGAAGGGAAGGCATATAGTTATTGCTAAAATTAGCATTTTTGGAAGCAGCTAGTAACTTGAACAATTTGCTGATTTGTCTTGCATATATTATATTTGTGTCCTAGCAAATGGTTCTGAGGAGGTATCTCTGGCAATCAGGCAGAAGGGAACCAGGGGTTCTGAATATATTCTAATGGCTAATGTCTAAAGAAAATGAACAGGACTCATTTAGGACACAGCATGAGAGCGATACTCTCATCATTTTTTTTTTCCTGTTAGATCTTCTTAAGAAACCCGAATAGCTTTGATACGTATCTAAAAATAAAGTGAATAGCGCTATGGTATCTGTTCTTTCCTCTCCATGTAACGGTGAGTATGTGTTCTCAGAGCTTATCTGCTGTGTGCCAAAAATCAGACAGGGCTATGAACAAATGTCCATTGCTTCCAACTCATAAGAACACTTGGCAAAAAAAAAAGTGGCTCTCTCTCTGCTGTCTCATGTCTTTGAAGTTTAAACGATATGAAGAA